ACAAATACGAATACGTAGAGTGAAAAACCTTGTATTTTGTATTATTTCGTATGTATTTGCATTGTACACATTTGTATTTATACTCCTTTCAAACCAAGCATTAATGTCTATAAAAAAAGGGAAGTTTATATGATTTATAAAAAAGGGCATAGAAGGATTTTATATTTTACCCTGTTTTACAAAGGCAGTTTTTGTGAGATAACTCATAGAAACAATCCAAGCATTGTTTCATAATATGCTTGATTGTCTTGTTTTGAAAATTGCTCTAATAAGGCTCAGATTAGGATGAGTGAAAATAGAAATATGTAATGTGAAATGCCATATCTAAGGTATTTGTATTTGTAGTCTTCCCAAACTATGTTTTTATAGGATTTTTTTGCAAACAAAAACTGTGCCCACATTGCATAAGAATGGGATCCCGCCATATAATAGAAACATCTCTCTATGAATTTAACATAAATTAGTTGGAACTCATGCAATGCTAGTAAATTTGAAGTCAAAAGGAGTTATTGGACATTTAGATTGAGTAGAGTGAATCTTAGTCCGATTGAGCCTTGGGCACTATGGCGATAAGCTAATTAAATTGATTTATTAATTAATATAGGCATTATAATAATTTTACACCAAATGTCAAGGGAGCTTTTCCTAGAGGTCAAATTATAGGAGAGGTTTAAGTAGTTTACCCCAGTGTTTTAAAAACCAACCCAGAGGCTGAACCATTTTTGCCTCCGGGTGTCATTAGTTCAACCGTTCAGGTTAAACAAGTCGGGCCATGCCACATTACCAACACATAAATTTATAGTGAAAGTGGGGTTTGTTATAGGCTTTTTGCGGTAGAGTGAAAGAGGCGAGATAGAGAAACACCGCGGGAGAAGAGGAAATTTGATGGATAGGGAATTTTTCACAATAAGCCTAGGGGTGATAATGACCAGGTTTTGCACCTATGGTAAGGGCTATGGCTTAAGGCCGGGCCAGATTCCAAGCTTGAAAGTTCAAACATAAGACCGGGCCTATTTCTATATATAATAGATGATATAATGTAAAATAAAATATGTAAGTATCCATTATCTATAATATGCATATTTAAATCAATGTTTTAAAAACTGACTTAGAGGTCGAACCATTTTTGCCTCTAGATCATGGGTCTCCAATTTGACCAATTCAGACCATAGCACATCAGTCATATGGAATCCAGACATATATATATCAGTGTGTATAGGTATGTATAAACATGTATTTTATCTATAAATAATATATAATTATGTTCTACATGTAATATATGTATTATTTTATATTCAAATTAGATTTTTTAATTCAGTTTTAAATTTTTTATTTATAAAAATACTAAAATTTTCAATTTGAGGCTAAAAAAAGGTTTTTTGGTGAAAATACGATGCCTTGCAACACAGATCTCAAAAGTAATCCAAAATAAAAAAAAATCACTTCAATTGGACATTGGAGTATAAAGTTATGGCCTCCCGAAGTTTGCATACACATTTAGTTTGTAACCCTAGACCTAGTCACTAGGTTGAACAAGTCAACGGTCCAACTRTTTGGGTCAAATGGTTTTTGACCGTCCACCGGGTTTTACTAAAATCGGACCCAAAATCTTGACCTGATGACAGTTTGAGCGATTCAATCGGTCGGGTCAACCATAGGTTGAAAACACTAGTTTACCCATTAATGTAAGGCTGTGTTTGGCAAATCTTTCCATGGTGTCTTCTGGCCTGTCAAAGCCTAAAATCCCAATTTTTTAGTTTTTTCCGTTTGGCAAAAGAAGACAAGAAGTCGAGAAGATGAGCCGCCCAAAAAGCTTGTGCAAGCCCGAAAATCCCCGAAAAGCTTGTCTAAGATATATCATACGTGTGCCAAGAGGCGCACGATTTAGAAAATAATAGGGGTTCTTCGAAGAAAACCCCCATTCCTCAACGTGCATGCTCCTCTTCAACGTAGGTATTTTCTTCCCTCCTCTTTCTTCATTTTCTTTCGCTTTCTTTTCTTCTTCTTCTTCTACTCCACCATAACCCATCCTCTTTTCATTTAAAAGGACCTACAAACAATATCTTTCTGTTCTCAGGTACAATCCAACTGCTTTCTTTGTTTTAATTGAAGTTTCTGTTGTTTGCTTTCCCCTATTTATTAATTCAATATCTGAAAACTTCAATTCGTTTCTGCTATCAATCTTTTCTTTGGTATATCTAAATTTTTTTGATCTTCTAATGTTTGCTCTACTACTAAAAGTCCAAAAATAGGTACCCACCTTCCAAGGTTTGCTTCTTTTGACAGGTCTCAATGGCTATTGAACCATTGTGATCTTGGTTCTAGAGAGATACATTTGGATACTTTTGTAATACATGATCCAATGTTTGCTTCCCATAAAGTTCACTTTACAGCTTTCTAGAAAATACAAACCTGCCTGATCGCAGCCTACTTTTTGTAATACGTGGGCATGACCTCAACTGAAATCTTTAGACAGTTGTTAACCTTTAAAACCTTCAAACCTCACTGAAATCTCCCACTCTCCAACCCCTAGAAAATCATATCTTTCACTTCCTCACAACACCTAATGTCAGGGACTCTAGATTTCTATGCTGTGATAAGATGCAATTCAGAGAAGTGTCAGAGAGATTCAAACACCAATCCATGCGCAAGTGTTTTAGACAATGACAAGAAGTGGCAATCCAAGAAGTGACAATCGCAGCACTGGGCTAATGAAAATATGGACTCATCTCCAACTTTATAACAACCCAGCAACTTTACAGTCCTCAAAGAAGAACAAGCCCCGGAAACACTTGAGACCCCAACATCCCCAGCATCGCTGCATTTGTTGACATCTAAAAACTTGATAGAATGACACCTATCAACAAGACTTGTCAATCCAGTGTTTGTTATGTTGTTGCATCCCTCTAGTTCCAGCTCTTCTAGGTTACAACAGTGCTTTGAAAGGGTTTGCAATAGCCCATCGGTTATGAATCTGCATCCTATAAGATGTAAGCTTCTCAAGTTGCAACAAGCCTCAGCAATGGCTTTTAGTCCCTTGTCTGTCAGCTTCCTGCAATTTGACACATCAAGGACTGGAGATATGAATGAAATCTCACTAGAATATGTTCTTCAAATGCACAATCCCACTCAAGCTCATTGGCTACTGAGTATGCCGACCATGAAATCCAATCAAGCTGACATGAGTCATTATTTCAGTTTTTTTGTTATGTATTAAATACTTTGGGTATTTAATATTTTATTGAGTTGCAAAGGCCAAGGGATTAAATCCATAAATTGCCACTAACCCAAGGTCAAGGTGTTTATAGTTTATTCCTTTCTTATGTTTGGAATTGGTAGAAAATTTTCTATTAGGTGTCACTTGTATGTCAGCTCTGTTTTCTAATTTATAATGGATGGTCTGAGAAGAAAATGAGAATTTGTGTTTGATTAAAGGGTTCAACTATGATAAATGGGCCCCACCACATTTTGGTTCCGGACATCAAATGGGAAAGATATACTTAAACTGCTATAGGTATATTTGCAGGACTGGTGGAGAGAATCARAACTTAAGTCTCCTAAAATCAATACCTCATGCATTCCCTTTTTAAATCACTAAAATAAAAATGTAATTCAATTGCTTTCTATTTCACTCGCCAAAATGTTTTCCCTCTTCAGTCAATATGCTTTCCATTTGATCAAACAAAGCATTCCACTTTATCTTAGAACTCTTTTGACATTAGGAAAGATAGTTCGGATGCAATTACAGTTCGAACTCTCTTCCTACTATGCCGCAATGTTGCATATACAGAAAAGGTAGTTATGTTTTTACCTCCAGTAATCTTTTGCATGACCACCATGTAAGCACCTGGCAGACATCCTTTGATGTCTTGTTAAAGAAGTTCCAACCACTGAAAAGCTATAGTTGCAGCTAGAAAACAAATGAAACATCCAAATCAGCTCAAGGTTTTTAGTCCTACCTCCTACAAGTCACCTGACAAGTTGCATTGTACATAAAACTATCCCTTTTGATGAATATGTAAGAATGGAAATGGATCTACCACAAACAAAACTATGTACAACAGGCTATGTAATCCAATTAGGTACTAGTTGTACAGATCGTTGTCATTTTTACTCTTGATTGAGCTATTCCAATTCCAACTATTTGGTTGGGCAGAATCGGAATCCCATTCCCATTCCTGCTGGAATGGCATTCCCCCATTTGAGGGAATGGCCATTCCATGCCCCTCCCTTGGGAATGAAATCCCATTCTTGCTGATTTCAATTCTCATTCCCATTCCTGTCTGAACCAAATAGACTATGAGAATGGATCATTCTGATTCTCATTCCGACTATGAACCAAATGGACCCTACTAATCCTAGCCATTGCAAAAAATATCAAACAAATTTGCGAAAAAGCATTCCTCACTTAAAAAAAGAAGCCTTCTTTTCCCTGAATTTTCTTGAAAAAATAGCTCGTCTAAATTGGAAAATAAGATATTCCAATTAGAATCAAAATGCAAAAAATCTCTTCACATCATTCTTGATCTTATTAAGTGGGTGAGCAAAAAATCTTTTCAACAACCCAATTTTGATGTGAAATGATTGTTTTTTATTTTATATGGAACAGAAGTCATTCCAAACCATACTACTCTCATTTTTCTTTTATTTTCTTGTAGCCATTCAGGGTCTCCATTTAGGCTTGTTTCTTTTTAGTTACTACATAATTTCATCACATGGTAGATTGTACTAGCTTTCTATTGACACTTGTGTATATGATATATATAGGTTTCTTCTTCATCTATCTTGTAGCCATTTAAAACATACAAAAGTATGTTTTTACATAATTTTGGAATGGCTTTTTTACCTTTTAGCTAGTCCTTGAACTTGATATATGCTTCTACTGATGCATGAATAATCGACCTACTTTTTTTTTTGTTAATCAATTTTTTCAGATGGCAAGTAATGTAGTAAAGCAATACTACAACATATGGTGATGCCAATGTTAGTCAAGCTAACTGGTTTAAATTTAGATGCAGGGGTGTTTCCCAGCTCCTTCAGCATCGGAATCAACTTTGGGTTCTCTCTCTCTCTCTCTCTCTCTCTCTACAAGTCTTCACTGTGACTTCACCTAATGGGAGAAAGTTGAAACCGTTGCATGTCTATTAGGATTGATGTTTTTGTTTTAGGTTTCAATGGAAAGGATAGCCTTGTATGTTCCCATTTTCGCTTAAGGGTTTGTTAAGGATTAGATTTCTTCCAATTTTCCATTTCTTGAAATGGCTGTATGAAGCTGGGTTCCCTCTGCCTTTCAATTTTTTTTTATATACTCTGTTTTGTGTATGATCTTAGGATGTTATTCTTGCATTCAGATAAGGTGGGCATGCAAATGGAATTGAAGTGGGTGACGTTAGGAAGATGTGCTTTGTTGCAAGTTGAAGGGGCTATAAGGGGTAGGGGCTAGTAGTTTTCCTTTCCTCATTTTAATATTTATTTATTCTGCTTTTATTATTTTCATTATATGTTTCTACTTTCTAGCTAGGATTCTGATTTATTTTGGTTAACATATGGCTTGATGGATTAGGTGTTTTGTTGTTTCCTACTCATTCTCTCTTCATTCTACACTCTACATCCAGAAATTGAGAGAGAGAGAATAAAAACAATACTAAATAACCTAAGAAAACATTCTACTTGTTGTTTGATGAGACAAGTCATAATAGAAACACCAAAATAGCATAAACCCATTAAAACTGGTGTGCTGTTGATGAGGCAAGTCATAATAGATACAGCAGAAAAGCAACAACCATTAATTCTGTTTCAAACCAAATTCTATGCATGTAGAAAATATAAGAGTACCCAGAACAAGAAACTTACACTCCTGAGGCACAGACGAAAGCAATAACTATGGAGAAATTGTATAATAGCTTTGCTTGTAGAGTTGCTGAGTTGCAGTTTTCTTCAATTCCCCACAAGGATTTCTTATCAGAGTCCCAGACAAACCCTACTTAAATTTAGTTTCTTGACATGAAGACTCCATTGTTATCCCAGGCAAACCCAGATGTGAGTTTGTGTGGGAATGAATTAGAACTCTAATATGATACACCGCCGACACCGATACTATTATCACCATCCGCCTGAAACTTGGCATAACATAACACTATTAGATGAACATGGTACACACTTTGTTTTCCTAATGCTTCTATTGTTGATTGATAGGAAGATCAAGCACTACAACATGTACATCCACTTGGGACCCACCAAGCTAACAAGCTAGAACGTTGTTCTCTTCTATGTGATGATTGACTAACTTATTGCCTTCAATTTTTGTAGGCTATCTACGTTGCTTGGCTTCATTGGAACTCCTCAATGGAGTTATGAATTCAAGTTTGATCAGAATTTTTAAGTTTGTTCYTTCATGTTGACCTATGGTTGTATCATAAAGGTGTGATACAACCTCAATTTTACAGTTTTATACAAACTTTGAAAATACCCATTATATTTAATTTGCTGAGTTTTTTATTTATTTATTTTTCCACTTTTTGACCTTCATTTTTTTGCAGATTATCTACGTTTCTTGGCTCCATTGGAACACCTTAATTGAGTTATGAATTCAATCTAAGGTACCTCTCCCTTACTCATTTTCTATCTTACTTTATTTGATTTAATACCCACCATATTAGCATTGTTAAATTATATTTACCGATTAATTTTCTAGGAGTTATTTATTTATTTTGCATCTCTTTCTTCCTTTTACCACCTTACTACTACTGCATTTTGGAGTTATGTTTTCTTAGTTATGCCTTTTAGGCGGGTATGCTTTCCTAACTTTTTTATATTTATAATCTAAACTAATACTTAACTTTGTTATTTAGTTTGYTATAGGCTTATAGCAAAGGAAAAACCATGACAAAGAAACCCCACCACCCAATACTCCCCCTAGAGAAATTGTAACTTGGGATGATGAGAATTGCTGATTACTAAATATTTCGTAATAGAAATGACAACTTGGATTATTAGCATTTTAATAGAGAATTCAGTCATTATTTTTTTTTTCTTTTTTCTTTTTGTAGATTAGAACAAGTGTTCAGTTCTTATAGGAGCATGAAATCTTACAATGGTTAAAATATAAAATCTAGAAATTCATTTTATAAGTTATCTCTTTTATGGGTCATCAAGCAAAGCACATGGGTAATGATCTTCTCTGTTTTCCAAGGTAACAAGATCTTTCCACATAAGTGCCAGGTCTTTGTTCTCCATAGGTTTTATGATCTTTCCTTGGCCCTGAAATCTCCTATGTAACAAGGTCTCTCTCTGTTGTTGTGATTTGTGTTGTGGGTGCCTTTTATTACCCATTAATTAGATTTAGTGTTCTTTAATTTCTTTCCAGAATTCATATATCTATAATATGTTTTTGGGATTTTCTATTTTGGTTTTCTCTTTGATATTACTTTTTATCTTTTGAAAATATCCAAGGTTGGATGGTCTTGATCAATATTCAACCATATTTGCTCTTGAGAGATAGTGAGGGACTTCTGGTCGATTTGGCAAGAAAGAAACTCAAGGATGTTCCAAAACAAAAGATGTCAAGAGGATAAAGTGTGGCAGAGAATTGTGGAGTAACCATACTCTGGTCTGTGGTACAACTGAATATTTACAGTTCCTTTTTGATTTTGCAAGCCTGTTTGTAATGGGATGGTGGTCTGAATGTGTTTTTTTTTTTTTTTTCTGCATTCTCCTTTGTTGTACATTTCGATCTTTTCTTTGAATGAATGGATACTTTACTTCTTCTTCAACACATTGCCTAATTTTGGTTCTTCTTGTTTCTCACATATGCTCAAATGCAGTTGCATCCAATAAGAGAAAATTCGAATGAGTTTCCAGACCTATCATCCGAGTGTGATTCTTTAAATACCTGCAGTGCAAGTCAAATTATAAGTAAAACATCCATATAAAACATTGCTCTTTGAACTAGACCGTCCAGTTATGATCTTGTGTTTTCTAATCTATATACAGTCCCATAATGACAACAAAGATGAAACAGAAAAACATCATTATTTTCTGGCTACACTTATAACTTGGTTGGAAGTTAGAACATAGAGAATAAAATCAATATTAACTTCTGAATTCTAACCACAGCTGTAGCATAGACAATAATAAAGCAACCATAACCATGAACAAAGGATAAAATGTAGCATAGACAATACAAAAGAAAAAACATGAATTTATCTTAGAAATTCTACCAGAATATGATAATTTAGGACTGAAAACTAAATGGCCTCGATAGGATAATTAAATGCACACCTTTGTGTAGAAACTTGGTTCATAACGGTGTGTAGGGTTGTTTTTCCGCTTACAATCTTTGGATTAATGAAAACAAGACTCTCTGAAGAAAATAAAGCCTCCAACCTTCAACCATTTGGCCATCCTTTCAGCTAGATTCTTGACCTTGCCAAGTGCCAACCATGATACTAAATGAAATAAAAAGCTAACTTAAATGACAACTGATGTAGAGCAATCTGGTCACTCCTAGCTGGCGGTGGCCTGGCTCCTAGTTGGCGAAGGACAACACATGAGACGGAGAAGCCAGTGAAGGATTCCCGGGGAGTTTGCCGGGCGGGAACACTCCGACGATCAAGTTAGAACTCTGGGAGAGAATTGCAGAGAATACAAGGAGAGATAAGAGTGCAGATAGCGCAAGATCAATTACCTTTTCTCTCTGAGAGTTGAAGTTCTTATATAATGGTGTCCTGTCAAATCTGACATAACCACCTCGGATTCTCTGTCGTAGCCATTACCTGCCATGGCTGCGCAGGTCACTGTTGCAGGGTATGACTCTGTCATACGGGGGACACCTCTCAGGTTTGGCAGGCATGACGCCGCCTGGCGAGAGATGTGGGTGCAGGGCCCCAGGTTTGGTAGATACGGTTGTCAGGGAAGATCTTCCTGTGATATGTCGAGTTGTCTTCCTTCGAGCTACCTTGCACCGAGCTACCCTATGCCGAGCTGGAGGTACCATACTGAGGTTATTCTACCTGAGGCGGCCTACTTAGGCTTGTCAGAAAAAATTTATTAGGAGGCTCTCGAGCTCACCCCGAAGTACCTTGAGCTCGGGTGATCCCTGTCTTGTAGTACCCTGGCTTGGGATGCCTATGGAAGAATCTTAGCTCGGGGTATTCCCTTCTTGAGGAGGCGGGGGCTCCCTTATTGTGGAGGAGCTCGGGGGCTCCTTTACTTGGGAGGAGCTTGGGGGCTCCCTTATTGTGGAGGAGCTCAGGGGCTCCTTTACTTGGGAGGAGCTCGGGAGCTCCCTTACTATGGAGGAGCTCGGGGGCTCCTTTACTTGGGAGGAACTCGGGATAATCGGAGTGTCACCCGATGCCGAGCTGCCACACTGGACCTTGGCGGATTGGCCGCGCTGAGCTGTCACTTATGCTGAGTCACGCCCACGTGTCCCCCTATGATGAGGTCGGGGCAAATCACCCTCCATCAATTGCCCCCCACTCCTCGAGCC